GCTGCTCAAGGACAGCAAGAACAGACTGGGTCTCTCGGCTTTGAGCACTAACGACCCATCCACGGTTCTTGAGAAGCCCTCTGCTATCCTCAAAGACATTCAATACTTCAATGTCAAGGTCCCCTTGGAAGGCTCGCCAGTAACAAATCAGCGCTTAAGCGGCCGATGCTGGATCTTTGCCGCCACCAACGTCTTCCGTATTGCCATCCAGCAAAAGTACGATATCAAAAGCTTCGAGCTTTCACAAGCATACCTTTTCTTCTACGACAAGGTCGAAAAGGCAAACTACTTTCTGGAATCCATGCTCGAAACGGCAGACGAGCCCCTAGACGGAAGGCTCATCAGTTCGCTGAATGCCAGCCCAGTTGGCGACGGCGGACAGTGGGACATGATTGTCAATCTGGTCTCGAAATACGGTCTTGTGCCCCAGGCACTGTACCCGGACAGCTGGAGCGCGAAGAATTCTGGGTCAATGGATAGGCTGCTGACGACAAAGCTGAGGGAGGATGGCCTGAAGCTGCGAGCACTGAAGAATGAGGGTGCTAGCGATGCAAAGATTACATCTGTGAAGGAGGGTTTCATGCAAGACGTCGTGAGGATTCTCACGCTGACGCTTGGTCCGCCTCCGGCGGCGAATAAGAAGTTCAAATGGGTGAGCCACACTGCGGGCACTGCGCACTGAGCATTTCCGTTCACTAACCACGTATCAGGAATTCTATGATTCCAAGAACAGGTATAACGCCATCTCGTTCACGCCACTCGAGTTCGCCGCCTCCACCCACGTCTCCAGATTCTTCTCGCTCGTGCACGACCCACGCAACGAGTACAATCGCTTGCTCTCAGTCGAGCACCTCGGCAACGTCTGGGGTGGCCGACCAATCACCTACATCAACGTATCGAACTCCGTCCTCAAGAAAGCTGCAGTGGCTATGCTGCAAAAAGGCTTGCCCGTGTTCTTCGGCAGCGACGTGGTCAAGTTCTCGGACTCCTCAAAGGGCATCATGGACATCGATCTTATTGATTATGAGCTTGGCTTCAACGTCAAGCTGGGCCTGAGCAAAGCCGAGAGGCTACTGACTGGCGAGAGTCAGATGACGCATGCCATGGTGCTGACGGCCGTGCATCTGGACCCGAATGGCAAGCCGGTGCGATGGCGGGTAGAGAACTCTTGGTCTGAATCTGCTGGCACAGATGGATATTTCGTCATGTCTGATAAGTGGATGGATGAGTTCGTGTACCAGGTCGTGGTGGATCCGTCTCTCATTGATAAGAGTGTAAAGGATATCCTGGCGCAGAAGCCGAAGGTGCTGCCTCTGTGGGACCCGATGGGTTCTTTGGCTTGAAATGATAGAGATGAGGCGTTTGGGGGCTCGGCATTGTAGTGGAGAGGCCTACGATGTGTGGCATTTCATAGTATGTTTTCCACAGCTCCTGAGTGTACGCCTTTGTACACATCTGCCGTCGTCAGCCGTGAACTTCCATCTGTCATTCCGAAGCAATAGAAACGAGAGGAGAAGTGCAAGACTGAGCCGGGAAGTGTGCTAAGCGGATCGTCCAAGTTTTCACAGCTTTGCCTGGTCCACTGGTTTGACCACAAACCCAACCCGCGGAAAATGTATTCTCGTCTCAACTGCAGCAAGCGTCTCCAGGGCTTGCGGCTTGATCACAATCTCCTCGGGCGATAAGGCTACCAGCGTGCCGATGGTCGGATCATCTCTCCCAGTATCGTCGGGAGCAACAGACACTGTGACGCCTTCTCGCAACCCAATCTTTGTGGCCAACGCAGCATGCACAGACCTTGGCGTTGGCAGCAGGAGTGACCTTCGACCCAATACCGGCGATCTTTTGATCTGCTCTAGCACTTGGGCAAAGTCTGGGTATTTGTCCTCGACGTCGAGCAGGTTGTCAATGTAGCGTTGGAAGGTCCTGTACCAGGTGTACAGTGCTGGATACCTCTTCGCATTGAAGACAGCCTCTGCACCAGCCGTGTTCGTATCTTCAGTCCCGCCGCCCGTGAGGTTATTGATCAAGCGTCCGGCCGCGATATCGCTCCCCCATGACAATTGGTAATACACCGAGATGTCCGCTAGCGAAGGCGATCTGGTTGAGAATATCCATGGCGTATTGCGGTTATCGAACAGCGGCTCCAGTATCGACAACTGCATATCCAGGCTCATCAGGTTAGCAGGCACCTTCTTCTCCAGCTTGTCAGGATCTAGCTTGTGCCCGATCAGACCAGCTCTATCCTGTCCAAAAGACGTTCGCCACACGCTCGCAGGTATGAGACCCGTGGTGACGCGGAAGAGCGGGCGATCAGTCCAGTATGAAGCAAAACCTCGGATCATTGGTCTGTAATTCCGTCCATCGGCAGCGGTGGGATAAAGGCTTTGGAAGCCCTCAGACGCCGGGAAGAAATGCTCCAGTGCTTCGCAGATGATCGAGGTATCGCAGTAGAGCTCCCGGCCGATGGCTAAGACTGGGATTTTACGGTATGTGAGTCCGAAGGTGTCTTTAAGGATTGGACGTGGCATCATTGATGGGACTGTGATGAAGATGTATGGTATCTGCTTGATCCTCAGAGCCAGCCGGACCTTGAGCGTAAAGGGTCTGAAAGTCAATGGGTGCGAGAGTCAGTCATTGCCTTACGAGGATGTGGTATCGGTTTGCTCACGACGCTTCGTAGCCGAAGAGGACCACGATGGGTTCGTGGCCCGCCATTTGCTATGTTGACCGCAGATGCGGTGGTAATCTGGTCAATGTGCAGGGAGGTAGAAATGTTTATCGGAGATGTTGTTAGACAAGTGGAACCCGAGGTCTATTTGAGGCCGAGAATCGGCTGCTACGAGCAAATCCAACATCTTCTGGTTGGTTGTCTTGCGTTACGATTCCGCCGTTATGAGTTGAGCGGTTGACGTATCATCGAGCAATAATTCGACGTTTATACTGAGAATGCTGAGAATGCCAATATGTAGGTAGGAGGTGATTATCTAAACATAGTTGTCTCTTTGTTGCCACGGACGGCAATGTTCCGACTCGAATGACGCTCCTTCAGGCGCCAGCCAACAAGCTGCTGCGCCTCCCACGACCGAAACACATCACTTTCCTTTCTTCACTACTACTTGACGCTGTCTCATTTGTCATCACTTTCTCCCATCAAGCACCACACATCTCACCATCAACCATGTCAGGCGTCGACGGCGCCTTCATCGGCCACCTCGCCCGCAGAGGGTTCGAGGCTGCGCAGAAGCACTTCCAGGGACCGAGCGCTGAGGAGATGGGGAAGTTGCAGCACGATGCGCAGCTCTATGAGAACGCTGGGCCAGCGATGGCTGTTGGGCCATGGGAACTGCTTCCGGTCGTGATCACGGGTATTTTCACGTTGATTCTGATTGCCTCAATCCGCTACACGGTCGGAGAGGTCATGGCGTAAGTAGCAACGCGACCTTGAAATTATCTATGTGACGCTGGACGCTGACTTGCTTTTTTCTTGACAGATCCTTGGCAATGATCGAGTCGCCGTCGGAGACTGCCATCATTGAGGCTAAGCCACCGGCATACAAGGACGTCGAGCCGGATGCGCCGCTCGAGAAAGAGTCACTCATGGTGGAGGAGGGCACCGACGTCGAAATCACCATCATCGCCCACAAGCCAATCACGACCAGGATCAAATCGACTATTGGACACTTGCACCGCGTCGGCGGCTTTTTCGCGCGCTGGAGAGGTATTGGACTCGCTTTCCTGTACCACCTCGTCCACGCCGCAGCCACAAACCTCCTTTCTGGCGGCCTCGGCTTCGGCTTGGTCGGCCACGCTCTCGTCTTCATCTTCGTTTCGGTCGGCACCGCCAGGCTCCACGCTGTCTGGACTCACAGCATGATCGCTTACCCGTCCTCCAAGCCATTCTTCCGCCGCTTTGTCGACCGCAAGAGCGCCAAGGCCCTGCTCCTTCCTTCCGCTGTCTTTGCTGCTGCCCAGCAAGCTACTTTCATGCTCCCATTGGCTGTGGCATTCTCTCTTGGTGCCCACGAGCTGAAGCACGAGGACGTCGTCAATGCTGCGCACGGCAAGGACTGCGCGAAGATGGCTATCATGAGCCTGCGTTTCCTTGCAGTCCCCGTCACCGCTCTGTTCGTCGCCTTTGCCGTCCTCCTTCCAGCAGCCGTCACCCTTACCCGCATCGAGGCGACTCTGCTGCCTGAGGGTGAGGAGACGATTGTGCCGTTCGACCGCGCGGCAGTCCTTGGTGATGTCGATATTACCGCTCGTGGCAGTTGTCGCGCCCTGTTTGTCCAGGCATGGAGGAGCTTCGACACCGCTGCTCGTTGGAGAATCATCAAGGTCTACGTCAAGATGGTCTTTTTGCAGGCTATTGTTGCTCTGATCGGTCTGCACCTTGCTATCGCTGAGATCTTTACCATCGGCGGGGACAGGCTCGCTATCCTCTTCAAGAGTGCAGCTGCTCAGTTGAAGTTGATGGCTATCGATCTTCGACAAAATGGGCCGCAATAGGTTTTTCATACACTTCCCAGCAGACTGGACAAGGAGCGGGGCACGGCGTTCGAGGCGCGGTGACATTACAGAGGAGGGACACAGGTTCCACAGTACTTACCTGCCCTTTCCATAGCATACCATAAACTTTGAAGCATCCTACCCAATCATCGTGCATCATTACAATACCTCCGACAGGCCACGTCGATCGGGTCTGCAATGGTGACATGTAGATACGTTGCCGTGCTGGGGACTGCCGTGATGTAGCATCACGCATATGGCTTACTTCCTAGCGAACTTGCAGCGACTAGGACACTTTGTATTACTGCTGCTAGCCTTCCCTTAAGGCTGATAGCATCAACGCCCACCGCAGATTATGAATCCGACCGAACGCCAAGACAGTCCTTAAGGCTGGCAAGCTCCCTTTGCGAGACACCGCAAAATGTATAGTGAATAAATTTAATTGAGGAATGTTCTTTCATCCAATCACATCAATGCGATGTCCTCTCAAGTCCGATGTGGTCTAGTGGCTAGGATTTGTCGCTCTCACGGACTACGCCATCCATAGTGCCGACAAGGCCGGGGTATGTTGGCAGTAGTTGAAGACGTTCTTCGAGCACAACCATTGACAGCGTACTAGGTTCGATTCCCCGCATCGGAACAGATGCAGGAGCATAGCTTCACCAGTGTTGCAACTGGTTGTGCGAACCATTCTTTTGCTTTTTAGGCTGGAGGAGGAAGGCGCTCCTCACTGCAGTGGCTGGATTTTTTGACGGTGGGAGGGTCTTGGCAACTACGCTTGAACATTTGGCGTGACTAGCGAAGGCAGACGACGTGTACTGGACGCTGTGAGAACGTTCGATGTGATTGATGGACAATGTACCAAGAATCTTTGCTTTTTCTGCGTGTACATTAAAAGCGCTTTTCGTCTACCAGTTCACTATGCTGTACATAAGGGGTATATTCTTTGCCAAACTCGTCACAACCATCAAGTCACCCTGCTAACACTTCATCCACACCAATCCAATGCATCATGCCCTCAATCATCCCACGGCATCTCCGATTCCTCTAACCTCGAGCAAGTCAAATAACCCAGGCCTGCCGGTCCAAAACTGCTCAGATCCAACTCCAAAAAGTTCCGCATAAGTGGCCTAACCGCATCTCTGGCCAGATTTTTGATCTCATCAATCCGCCGCTCAAAGCGTTTCAGATTGTCCCGTGTATACAGATCCGGCTGCAGCTTGAGAAAGTGTTTGAGCTCTTCGTGATTCAAGTAGGCAGATAATGAGGTCGAGCCGAGGAGGCGGTAGATCCGGCCTGGATTGGGCGCTGAGGGTGTTAGGATTGATGGCACTGGGACACGCTGCGTCACGGCGTGGGTACTGCTCTGACTGCTCGCTCGTGGACGATGGGAGACGGCAGTAGCACTGCTTGATCGACTTGAATTCTTGAGAATAGGAACGGGCGCAGGCGTAGTATTCTCAGCAAGCCATTGCCTGAATAGACTGAGGCCTAACCAGCTCAGGTAGTCGTTGTATGGACTCACTCGCTCACCTCGAGTCGTCGTGAGATTCAGCCGCCACAGCTTGGACTCAACTCTCTCCTCTTGCTCCCGCAAAACGTCGTATTTATCTTCAATCAGATCCACCACATTCGCATCAATCTGGCCATTACGCAAATGCGGTGCTGCGAGCGGCCATTGCCCAACAACATGAATCAGAGCTTCTGTAAATATTGTTCGCGAGCGAGCCAGGTAACCAAGCTTGAGATACGAAGGTGGGTATTTTGCAATCTGCTTGAACAGTCGCGCCCCAAATCGCAACAGATGATGGTCCACGCGCGAGCCGACTATGTCCAAGCAGTCGTACATGTCTGCGAGATGCAGTAGAGCTTTACATTCTGTGTATGCTGTCGCTATGTTTATGCTGTCGAGTATTGGCGGATATTGGTACATGGTCCTGAAGAGGTTGTCGTAGTCTTTGAGCACCTCATCTCCTGGCGCGGCCGGCTCCGATGGCTGACTACGATCGTTGAGGTTGAGGGAGGAGAAGTTCGCCAAGCTACGAAAGAAATGTTCGTTGCTTGGAGGAGGCTTGTTGCGAACTGGAGGTGGTCCGCCGAACAGCGAAGTCGAAGGCTCATCCTTTTGGACGAGCATGGGCGGCTCATCATCTCCAGCAGAGTTCCAATCCAGCACGTATCTCCACCTGCGCCTCGGACTCAAGTCGTATGACGGTCTGCATTCCCGACTGCTGGCTCTAGAGCTGCTGCCAGCAGTCACACTCCCGTCCTCGTTGATGCGGGCAAGGGCGCCGTTCGTGCCATTCTCCAATTGCCTGCCGGACCACTCCGGTCTCGTCCCTGCCTCGAAGAATCCCGAGCACTGACTCAAAATAAGTCTATGGAGCAAGTATCGACTTTCTCGTCGGCCTGATTCGCCCGTGATGATGATCTCGACATCTCCAGTATTCGAGAAGACCGGGAACTCGTTCTGTGGTGTGTAGCCAGTACCGCCGTGGTGGGTGCGTGCATGTCTATGCCTTCGTGTCTGCGATCGTCCGGAGGTGACCGATGCTGCTCGTTGCGCTACAAGTGCGCCTGCTGGCGGTCGCGCTGTCGCTGGAGCCAGATCTGAAGCCGATGTGAAGCCTGAGAAGGACGCGAATCGGTGGTGCGAGACCATAATGGTCTGTTATTGACCACTTCTCGCACAATAAGATTCGTCCCGATATATTGGCCCCGCGTGATGTCTCCAGTACAGGCGCATGTTCTAGCTCTTATACAGCGCTATCCCGTGCTGCTTTCTGCCCCAGCCACTGCTCTACCTTAGTTCCAGCAAATTCTGGCGAAACACTTCGATCGCGCGAATGCGAACGCATGAAGAACAAACCATCAACATCGCCTCCACCAGACAGTCAAGGCCTGACCAACGGCCTCTACACGTCGCAGGCTGCAAGCATGCGTGACCTCGCCGGTCTCATGCCAACGATCGCCAATCATATCAGGATCTGATGCTCGGCGGGGCAGAACCTTGTACTTCCCGCCTTGGCGCAAGCATGTGACGGTGTCCTCTGACCAAATCAGCATTGGTCCATTCGATGCATTCAGCAGGATCGATGCGAACGTTTCTGAGGCATGAAACATGTTAAATAGTGTGGTCATGCCTTGATAGTGCAGTGTCCAAACGATGATGCTTCGCTTGCAAAGCAGAGGACGATGACTCCTCGCTCTACACCGAATACGTAGCACTGTCGCCAATATACCGTCTCAGCTCACCAAATATGAACCCTGAGAAATGAGCAGAAATGGATATAACATGTGGAGTTGCCTCGCTGCGACCGCTCAATGCATTGCGAGAGCGAGCCAGGGTCCTCACGGCACATCGTGGGGATGGTCAATCTTGTAATTTGGCCTCGCTACAGCTCACGATCGAGATCTGCACATGTGGTCTACATGTAGGCAGAGGGACATTCAGCCTCTATGGTGATGTCACCCTTCTATCTCATCCTAACGCGCAGCTATAACCCAACCTTTCGAATGCTTGAACCAAAAATTGCTTCTGTCGATAAAAGTCCAAGGGTCAGCACTGCCAATCATATACTCCTTCCCCTAGTTCTGGCCATATCATTCTCTCTACTATGTCACTTTGTCAATCGTATTACCTGTACAATGAGTTGATCGTGTCAAGCTCAAGCTCTCGGCCTCAATCATGGTGCTATCAGACTTTGGTATCTACGTCGGCAGTTATGATACCTTGAAGTATGTTCCACCAGACGTAACGATATAGGGTGTTGTGGTAGCTGGTATTGATAGCCACCTCACGTCCACAGGCGGCTTCGGAGCTTTGGTCTGGCATCTTAGCTAACGGACCTTGGAACAACACTGCCGGATACTTGGAGGGCAACGGACATTAGCCATATGTATTTAGGTCGTCGTCTCAAGCTTGCTGTGCCACCCGAGAGACTTTGCCGCATCTACAACATTAGAACAGCATCGATCGTGTTGGGCCCCATTATGTCGGACACTTGGAAAGGCGCGACATCTGCCTCGCCTTGATATATCAGGTATCGATTCTCCAATCCAGCAACAGGCGCAATGTGGGAAGAGTGAACACAGGCTAACCCCGTTACGATTTCTGCATGAGCTTCAATTTGACTACCTACTACATTGGCACCCACAGAATCGGCAGCAACAGGACAACCCACGCTCTGAATCAGGTCATCATGTGTCGGCTGCTCGCCGCAGGCATCGCACTCGCCATCACGTTCCTTGGATTCTACACAAGTAGCACAGGTCCTTCTCATTCTTCACAATTCCAGGACATCATGACGCACCGAAAGCCGTAGGAAGGCGATTATCCGGCGCCATTGCTTGATGATGACCTGCCAGAGTCACAAAGGTCGCCCGGCTCCTTCTCAGTGCTGTTGCACCCAGGCATGTCGCTTGAGGACTACAGGGCTTCGTTCAAAGGACTCATCAATACGAACGCCCACATCGGACACGTCTTCGACAGGGAACTGCCGGTTGCAGTATCATAATCTTCTGGTTCAACGTCAGCGGTACTACACTGGAGGCTATGCGTGCAAATTCCATGCGCGAAGATTCCAAGATGGCAATGGTTATTCACGCTGGAAAGCCAATATTTCTGGGTACGAGCAGGCCTCTTGATCCATCGGAGCCGCAACAGAGAGCATCGTTTTGAACATCGAGGGGTAAGCGCAGTGAAGGAAGCTTGAGTCAATACTGTGGCCATATGCATCTTTCGCGGCGCTCATCCTGAACAAGCGACATGCGTACGGTGAATAGAGATGCTTGTCTGGCGTACGGGCTCACAATCCGTCGTGCAATTCTCGACTAGAGTATTTAGCTTACTGGTCAAGCAAGCTCAAAATGATCTCCGGAATGTTGCCGACGCCCTCTTTGTTGATAGCGGCAACGGGCACTGTATGCAATTTTTTCCGCCAAGCATTCTTCTTTCCACTCGGATGCTGCCCATCGCCGTGCTCAATAGCCTGCATGTACTTCCGCAAAGCCATGAAGTTCTCCTGCGTGCCCGGCTTGTCCGCTTTGGTCGCCACCACAAGCCAAGGCTTACTGCTGATGGGTGGAAGGGTGAGAGGCGGCAGCTTGCGCCCCGCGACTGGATCAAGTACGTTAGAGTTACTGTCTTCAGACGAGACTTCAGATTCTTCCGGGTTGAAGCCCGGCGAGATGGAAGATGCGAAAGGCTCGAAAGTCACCATGCCGTCTTCGTCTGGCTTCGTCTTCTCCGTCTCGGCATTGAGCTCTTGTTCGCGCAGCTTCTCATACTCGCCCACCTCTCTCCACAATGCCTTCAACGCAGCTACAACATCCCCAGCGCTGAGGTCAAGCACAAATGCCAAAACACCTGCGCGTTCGATGTGACGCAGAAAAGCTAGACCCAGACCACGATCCAGGTGAGCATCCTCAATCAGACCTGGAATGTCAGCGACGGTGAAGTTGGTGCGCGGCTCCTTCCGCCTGCCTTTCGTGTCAAGTGACGGACGGCCCGTGTTGGCATCCAACACAACAGTTCCCACGTTGGGTGCCAGTGTCGTGAAGGCCCAATCCCCGATCCTTGTCCTACTTCGTGTGAGCGATCGCAGAAGTGTACTCTTGCCAGCGTTGGGGAGCCCAACG